ATTGAAGACGTTTCTTTAGAAAATATTAAACTAAGTTTAAATGTTAACTTTAATAAAAAAACTGATAAGTTAAACTGATTATTTACATCCTTCGCTGACACCAAACATCGTTTCTGATTATGAAGATACTTCTTCTATCTTCCATATAAGCATTCTATAAGCATAACTTTTAACTAAAGGCTTTGGCCGCTTCTTAAAGTTGTGAGACAACATACTTAGTAGGACCTCCATGAAGTATCTTCCTTGAATAGCTCTAGATGTGTTGGTGTTTTCGGTATCAGGATATTGCTCATGACTAACGAGTATTGAGGAGCCCGCCTTTAGTGGTCGGGGAGAGAGAGAGTGCTCTGCACTTGTTAAAGGGAAGAGATATTAGTTAAGTTGACTCGTATGATGTGAACAGACTGTATATCGAGCTTTTGTACAACACTGTAATGTACCTACTGTAGTGTATGTAGTGGTTTCTGTAAACTGTTTTACTAATTTAGGCTAAAGTAGCGTTTTAATAATAGAAATATTTGAATTCCTCTTTGAGTTAAGTTATATTAATGTGATTTCTGTTTTAAAAGCTTGATACTTCCTAAAGCCAAAAGCAGAACATATTTAGGACATTGATATTAATAATTCAATTTTATGTCATTATTAACTGATTTGTTTCAACAAACAATGAAATATTTTTTTTTTTATTTCTATTTATTACGACTGAACTCAATTTACCATATACATATATTAAACAGTTCAGGCTGAGAGATAAAAACAAGGGTTATGAAAATTCTTTACAGTATAATAAACTCCTAAGTTTAGAATGCAGCGCCACCTATAATAGGTTGATCGTCAAATAAGCGGAGTTGTAACTACTTGCCAATAGATGGCGGTTCATAAAATAATTTCAATTTCTCATGGTATTCAGTCAACGTGTCTGTGAATTTTGTAAATCTTAGAGAATATTTTACTTTATTGTGACTTTGGTTGTTTATGCGTTCCTTTATATTATCCATTTCTTAGTTTGCTTCAGATTTATTGGTCACCTGGCTTGTTAATTGGATTCAAGACTAATCAATATAATTTTTTTCTCAATTTGCCGGAATAAATCTTAAATTAAATACCATTTTGTTGGTTAAGTTATAAGGTAAGTGTTATATTGTTTACATTTTAATGAGAAATAGCGAATATACAGGGCAACAAGAGAAAGAAACGTTGTATCGAATTTTTAATAAAAATAATTAAATCCTTTATCTTTATTATTATTAAGTAGTATAAATGTGAAGATAATAACACGAACAATAAAAAGAAGTATTTTCATAATAAATCTTTATCCATATTATTGACAAAATGAAACATATTTAGTTCAACGATTGTAGTAAAACGAAAACTAACTAATTATATAGGGCAGCAACCAGAGGTCCCAGGAAAACTACGAAAGTTACTTAAATGTATATTATAATGAGAATTACATATTAAAATTTACAACCTAATGCCCCGATGTTAGGATAGGAATGACATTCCATTGCTTGTGTTGTATCAGGAATCTTCTGTTTCACACAGCTTGGTGTTCGTTCTGCAGAGTCAGCAGCGTCACTCGGAATATATTTTATCTATACAACCATTTTGCCCCGGCGACGTTCATTTATTTTTTATTATGTTACACGTACATAACAAACTCATCTTGTGTATGTACAAATGTTACACTATAGTATTGATTGAAAATGTTAACTCAGAATAATGAAAAAACAGTAAAATACTAGCGTTGTGGTAGGTACAGTCTTTATTGTAGTAATGTGCTACAACATGGGCGGAGACAGTATTTAAAAGCTTTCAAATACAAGTTGATACCCAAACGTTGCCATCACAACATTAACAAAGGTTCAATATTAAGTGGTTTATATAAATAATTACAAATATTATCCCAGTTCCAGTACTAAGAATACTTACACTGATCTCTAACAATATACAAGTATCAACAGTTGACATTATTTATTCCGTGTTCAGTGAATGTGATACTTGATAGTTATTGTACCTGTTACAAACACAATATAAAGTAGACAAGTTTGAATATAACAGCGGGACTAGTTGTATGATAAAGGTATATTATAAGTACATTAATTATATCCAGTTAAGTTGTAGACTTCATTATTATAATAGTTAAGAAATAATTAGATAGACATAAGCAATTTTAATACAGAATTTTATTGAACAGAGATTAGACCCTAAGGAGTGATGTGTGTGAGACAAGTGTAAACAACACATGAGTAATGAATATAACTGTTATGAATAAAACAAATGTATATTGTATTATGTTTATTATACAGTAACAAGTCTCGTCTTCACATGTACATTAAGCAATCCCCAGTTCATAGAGCGCCTCTCACACACCTATCATATATTTCATCACCTATTGTTCAAACAAGTCCCGCAGGAGCTACATACAAATGTATGGATAAAGCTTGTATTAAAAGACATTGACTGTTTGAGCCGCTGCAACACTCCACCTTCAACACTACACTTGATACTTCAAGTCTTTTACATTCTAATATGTTTAAATCTCAGTCACTTCCCTCTCCATATAATGTGTAGCTCATTGTCTTTAATATATTGTGTCTAGTGTAATCACACACTCATGTTTCATTAATAGCTACCTGGTTCATTGTTAGTTTTCATCTAACACTTGATGATCAGCCGTCATCTCCTGATGGATGAATCTCAAGTACAGTCCAATAACACCATCTGTAACACATAATACAATATATAAATACTGTTCACAGGTCACTGGCTATATTTCTACATATTTCTATAGTATAGGAACCATCGCCTCTTATGTGGTGCCCATAATACGAACAAGCTTGTTTAGTTGGTATGTTCCACATGCAATTAATATAAGATCATTATATTCTATTCTTTGAAATATGAAACTGTCCATGTTTACATTTATAGGTTGAAAATCTGCCCGCCTTCTATTTAAATTATTTTCGATAACAAAGTCAGCTAATGTGTTAGAAGTAAACATCTTTTCATTTATTATAATACAACAGTATATAAGGATTATACCTAATTATATAAAACAATAAAACGTCATATTGCATTATAGGAATGGCATATACAATACATATCTATTTAAAAACGAGTGTTTTAAATAATTAATTGAATTTTCGCTTACTCGTCGAGGAGCTATCCACTGTCTTATAATAGACTGAACCTGATTAAGATCTAGACTATGTCGTCTTCGCTCTATCAAATCAGTTCCACAGTTTATGCATCTCAGAGATACGGATTGGTAAGAAGTCACTTCTTCTGTGTGCAGACTATCATGAGACAGGCTTTGAATTTGTTCAATGTCCATATTAAAGCCGTGGTTAGCGATGGAGCTAGTTTCGGGGTCCGTATTACGTGAGTGTTGGTCATCGTTTATGCCTTGATCGGAGTCCATAATACAAAAGCCAGGGTCATCGTTTGAGCGAAATTCAGGGTCCGTAGATGTGCAGGGGTCACTGGAAAAAGATAGTCGGAGTCCATAATTAATAAACAATCGTTGAAAGAAAATCCATAATAAATCAACACTCAATGTAGTTAAACAAAGCGAATGTAAATAATCAGTCTGTGACATATCAATGTCAATTTGTATTTTTTGTTTTATTAGTGTTGCAATAGAAAAAAATCATTAAAAAATCGATCGAAAACAGATATGATTACGTTTAATATTCTTCATATTTCAGTTTATAAAACGTTTAAAATGACGAAACTAATTTTAAACAAATATATTTTTTTTGCATTAAATACTTATAGTTGTATTAAGTACTGCGAGATGATTCGATTTGACGCAATCGTTAATTGATCTTGCTGGTAACACAAAACAAATAAAGCAAATGAATGAAGATACTTTAAAAATATTTTTTCAATAAAATACAAATGTACACACAAACAACAATAGAATGGCTAGATAAAAAAATTTTTTTTTCATTAATTTGTTTTTTTTTTATAGTAGCTGGTTTACGCTAGGCCAAAAATGGACATTGCGCTTTCACCAAATTTCGTGACAAAATATTGTTTTTTCTTAAGAGATAAAAATAAAAAACCAAAAACTTGGTTTTTCGAATTTTCCACATAAAATTTGAGGTTATGTGAAAATAATGTTGGTACAAAAGTTTTAGATCTTTTTATTACCTACAACTTTGCCATATAACTTTTTTCAGTTAGACTTAGTTTTGCCAGAAATCGAGAAAACCCATTTTTTACCCTTAAATACCTTTCCCGACCTCAGATCGCCCGTAAATTATTTTTCCTTTAATTTTTATAATATAACCCTCCTTTTCTAATAAGTTTCATTCTACTATATTTTATTTTCACATTTCATTAATTTTAAAGGCTTGTACACTGGCCTACAGACGCACTCAATATATTAAACTGCTCACATGCTTAAACATGAAAATACCAATACATTCTGCTTTGAATCAATCGAAATATAAAGGAAATATATATTATTATGAGCCCAAAATTTCATTTAATATGTAAAATGTATCTTTCTTATTAAAAGTTATATTTAATTAAAAATTACATAAGTTAATTTTTTTTACGTATTGCCAACCTTCACCATGTATAGCTTCTAGTATACATTTAAATAATTAAGAAATTAGATAGTAATACCTAGTATAATTGTTTTTGTTTTGTTAGAAATATTTGATGATTGTTTTATATTAAAACCATAAATTTATACATTTTTCTTTTTCTTATTTTAATTTATTTTGTATTTTTAATTAAATGAAAGAATCAACACTTTCTCTCTGCAAATGTTTCAAATCCTGGTTCATTTTTTATAATTACCATAACAAATTATTATTTTTAATCATCACATCTTTTCCACGTCCATCGTGTGTAGTAATATAATAATATTTTTATTATTATATTATAACATATAGCAACACATCTTTTCCCCATCCATCGTGTGTAACGGTCCTAACATCCTCAGTGTATCCAACCTCACTGCTTCACGTCAGTCAGTCTTTAAATCAAACCGGTTCATGTTCTTCCTTCCTCTGGTCACAGTCAGCTGCGATCTTCCTCATGACTCTGGCGTCTTCTTCAGTCGTCTGTTTTATTTCAAGGTGAGTTCTTTACACGTCTTATTATAATATAATTATTACTTCACATAAAACATTGTTTAATATCTCAGTCATTATTACGTCTACAAGAGGGTAGGCACATATATTATTTTAAATGATTTTTAAACACTATATGGGAACAAGGCTTCTTTATTTTAATGCTTCAATATTTCATTAGGTAGGTGTTTGTAATTAAATTCTTTTTATGTATGCTTGAAAAACGTAGACAACATCCTAAAATACTATCTTTAATTTTAATAATTATTTATTAAGAAGTGGGTAGTCTTCATATGAAATATTCAATATTATTTGTAAGATACTCGTGGACTCGTGAGAATATATAATTCAAGATGAGGGTCGAAGCTGTTGGTGGAGCGTCTGTTAGGACGTGGTCTGCGGACGAGAGGAAACCTTCTATGAAGAGAAGTGTATGTAGCTGATGTACGATAGTAGTGTGACGGTATGTACTGTTGAATATTTAATATTATTCTGCTATTATTTATAGTAAGGGTGAATATTTTTTGAGTTCGTTTATTCAATACTTTTATAAATTATAATACTTATTACATACAAGACGTGATACATTGACTGAACGCTTCCGACGCGTTGCTTAGTAATGAATAACTAAATGAAGGATAGTAAATCATTTTTGTAAACATTTATTTATATAAAATATATTAATGGAGACGTAGTATGTAACATAATTTAAAATCCCTACTAATATTATAAATGCGAAAGTAACTCTGTCTGTCTGTCTGTTACACTTTCACGCCTAAACCACAGAACTGATATTAATGAAATTTGGTACAGAGATGGAGTTGACCTTGAGAAAGAACATAGGATAGTTTTTATCCCAGACTTTTGAAAGGTTCTCTTGGAAACGCGATATAACCGAACTCCACGCGGGCGAAGCTGCGGACAGAAAGCTAGTATCAAATATTTTATGTATCTTCATATTGCTACTTGACTATTTGAAACACATATGTATATACGTTACAGCTTTCCGGTTTGCTAAAAATATTTCTAACTCTTTTTTCTTAGCATCACTTGTATGTTATTTTGTATGTTTGTTACTTACTGTCAGAAATAAATAATAATAATTATAATAATAACTAGCTGCTGCCCGCGGCTCCGTCCGCGTGAACATCACAGTTGTTCTCTGTCACTAAGGCCACTGAACCTGAACTGCTTCCACTTCATGGTTCAACCCGTGAATTTTCGGGATCGGGTAATCGGCATTATGTAATCGGATAATCGGGATAAAAAGTAGCCGAAGTCATTTTCCTGGGCTTCATTTATATACATACTAAAATTCATCACGAACGGTTCAACGGCTTAGGAATTAAAACTTAACAGACGGACAGTTACTTTCCTATTTATAATATTAGTAGGGATTTGAAAAATAATAAATAAACACTGTTATAAAATACTAAATTATAAAGTTGATATTTATTTAATAACACAAAAAGGATAGAGTTATAAATGGAAGCAATTTATCCCTACTAACATTATAAATGCGAAAGTAACTCTGTCTGTCTATCTGTCTGTTACGCTTTCACGCCTGAACCACTGAACTGATTTTAATGAAATTTGGTACAGAGATGGAGTTGACCTTGAGAAAGAACATGGGATAGTTTTTATCCCAGACTTTTGAAAAGTTCTCTTGGGCGAAGCTGCGGTCGGAAAGCTAGTTATAAAAGTACCACATATCTTTTTAATATAACGGTACCCTTACAGATATCTAATCATAATATGAGGCGACTGTAGTGTACACAATGGGAAAAGAGTACGTCCATGTGTTTTAGCCTAAAGTGAATGGAATTGCTCACATGTACCCAAAGTGCACACTCGCCTTGTATGACATAATCAATGGAATAGAAATATCTAGCACTGCACGAACTTAAACAGTGAACGAATCTCTTTTTTTTCATTCTAGTTTTATTTTGAATAATTAAAAATATGCTACTTTTAGTCTGTCATTTTATAAGCGAGTGTTTTTGTAATTCTTTTAAACATTTAATAATTTATTTTAAACCGACAATAATTGAAGTAAGTGTCTTTGTATGTCTCTATATAAGAACAATATTGTATTATGTATTACAGATGGTGTTATTGGACTGTACTTGAGATTCATCCATCAGGAGATGACGGCTGATCATCAAGTGTTAGATGAAAACTAACAATGAACCAAGTATTGATGAAACATAGAATTATATGAAGAGGAGAATGACTCGGTTAGTGTAACATATTAGAATAGAGAAGACTTGAAGTATCAACTGTAGCAGTCTCCAGACAATATAAGGAGTGTGTTCACTATAAACATGTACAGTACGAGTTTGATGTGTCTATTGATATCAAAGAACCTCCTGGAATGTACGTATATAAAGAAAGATAATTTATTTTTAATATATTTAAAACAATTTAGAGCTCTCCTACAGAAACATCTTCCTCAATCAAAGTACTCATAGTTTCACTACCGTCGTATGTTTTCACTACATGGTCTGTCCATCGATCATGAAATATATGTTTGTTTCAAAATATAAAGATAAGTAAAGTTAATGATATCCAAACAAATCTTTGTAGAGGACCGCAGTCTTAAGAAAATTATTATTTTCTGAACGCTATATTTGGCGAGGGCTTATTAATTTGATAGTTTGGTTTAATGAATTCATTACTATTTTTATTTTAACTTTTTTGTTGTTAATCTTTGACCACATCCTAAAATATGTGCTATCTTAAATAGTATTATTTGTGACGTTCTAGGACTCGTGAGAATATATAATTCAAGATGAGGGTCGAAGCTGTTGGTGGAGCGTCTGTTAGGACGTGGTCTGCGGACGAGAGGAAACCTTCTATGAAGAGAAGTGTATGTAGCTGATGTACGATAGTAGTGTGACGGTATGTACTGTTGAATATTTAATATTATTCTGTTATTGTTTAAAGTACCTAAGGGTGACTATTTTTTGAGTTCATTTATTCAATACTTTTATTAATGACTAGCTTTTGCCGCGACTGCGTCCGCGTGGAATAGTGACTTCCGGCAGATTTTTGGTTCTTCCCACGTAGTTTCCGTTCTTGCGGTTTTTTCAAAATGGTCGAGTTCCCGTAGAATTTTCAGGATAAAACCTATGTTTTTTTTATTCAGAACGAAGTACTCTTAACCAACAACATATTTATTTGTTTATTTGAATAAAGATTAATATTATTATGTTGATACAACTTAAACAAATAATTTCGACCAAATTAGGTACCATAAAAAGGGTTTTTGTGATTTAATCTTATAAGATAGACATATAATAATAAATATTTTATTCAAGTTAAAACACCATTACAAATAAAAACCATATAAAAAGTAACAGTGAACAGAAACAAAACAAACATTAAAAATAATAATAAGATAAAAAACCACCACCATTTTTAAAATTAAAATTATTTTAATCTTATCGAGACAGAATTGAAGTGTTTTAACCCAAAATGGCTGCAACTAAATTTGAATAAATTTGAATTTATTGCAGCGCTGGTTTTCAGTTGCCACCTGTTAATGTTTTGGACCAGTAGCGGTACAGCATCTGTTAAAGGTTTTTACCTAAGGAAAAATCAAATAAACAAATAAAAAAGTAGTTGATTTAGATTGTAGAATCAAGTCTTTGATAAAAGTGAAATTTGAAAGTCAAACTAGACATACATACGATCGTTTTCGCCTCTAGATAACGCTTTTTTTGTCTTTCTAATAAATATGCTCTAATCTTCACTTTAAAATTAAATAATGATTGCGAATTTTGTAATGGAGGAGGTATGATATTCCAAATTTTGCTAGAGGCGTAGCTGAAACTGCCGCGGAATGCAGCTGTCTTATGTCTCGGTACGGAGATCCGATAGGCTGAACCTCTTATTCCATATTTCTTTCCTTCTCGTGCCCATTTGATTTTTTATAGAAGGTAATCAGGCTTTTTAGAGGTTGCAATACTAAAGAGCATTGTGGCTAAATGTAAGTCTCGTCGAGCTGACATGTTAAGCATACTTGCATTATTAAGATATGTACTGACATGTGCTCGGGGAGGAATCGGAAAACAAAACCTTGCGCAAGCATTTTATACTCGCTGTATTATCTTTTTTGTTCTTTCCAATAAACATGGACCGTATGCGGTGTCACCATAGTTTAACCTCGATAGTATAAGTGATTCACATAGTCGACTTCTTACCTCAGTGCTTATGTAAGGTCGTATCCTATACAGGAGTTTCAATCTGTAAAAACAGCTTTTAATTGTATTTGAGATGTGCTCTTCAAAATGCAAATTGGAATCAAAAATAACACCCAAGTTCCTGACCTCCGATTCTCTTTGTACTACGTCACCATTAATCGTAATAAGGGGCTGTAAGCTTTCAATTGTTTTACACATTTTTGTTGATCCTAGTATAATATATTTAGATTTTTTTGGATTTAGTATTAGTGAATTATTTGCAGCCCAGTTGGTGATACGTTGCAGATCCTCATTAATATTACATATAGCGTCATCTGTGTCTCGTGGCCGAAAAGAGAAATATAATTGTACATCATCTGCGTGTAGATGATATTTGCAATGAGTAAAACAGCGAATTATATCAGCACTATACATTGCATAGAGCAAGGGACTAAGCACAGAACCTTGAGGAATTCCTCTTTTCACTGGTGATATTGAAGAGACCAACTGAGAGCCATCGCTTAAATTTATCTCTACGAATTGAGCCCGATCCTCAAGATAACTGTTGAACCATTTTATGGTGGGAACATCAAAACCGTAGTAAGATAGCTTAGACAGCAATAGTGAGGTGTCAATTGAGTCAAAAGCACGAGAGAAATCAAGAAGAATCAAGATTGTTCCCATTCCTTGATCTCTAGCTGTAAGAACGTTATCAATGACATCCATTAAGGCAGTTGTTGTGCTATGATTTTTACGAAAACCAGATTGTAGAACAGGGAGAATGTTATTCTCTTCCACGAACGAGGTCATTTGAGCACATACAATTTTTTCCAAGATTTTAGACAGACATGGGAGGATACTAATGGGTCTAAGATCTTTTACACTAGCAGGATTTTTAACCTTAGGCAAGGGTTTTATTATTGCTGTTTTCCACAATTTAGGAAAAGTAGAAGTAGTAATGGATTTGTTAATTATAGCTGTCAATGTACTCAAACTTTGCGGCAGGGTCAAAAGTAACATTTGAAGAGTGATTTTATCTGTACCTTGAGCATTCGTTTTGAGACTTTTTATGATTTTAAATACTTCTGCTTCATTGGTTGTTCTTAAGTTGAAAGTCTTTTCCCCATATCTATTAAATTCATAGTAAGTTAAGTTAGACATTGTAGGGTTTTTACCGCGTGGTATATCTAAGAAGTGTTGATTTATTATATCCGGGTTACGTAAATTGTGTGGTATCTCATATTCTTGTTTTTTATTAATCACACTAGTTCTTTTTAAATTCTTCCACAATAATACTGGATTTTTAAGACATTGGTTTATGTTAGTATTATAGTAAGCACTTTTTTCGGCTTCAATTGCATTCCATACCAGTTTTTTAAAATTTTTATAATAAATTTTGTGTGTTTCTGCCTTAGTTAACTTATAACGAGAGTGGCTTTGGTTCCTTAACGTCATCATTATTTTAATCGTACGGGTTATCCACGGACACAACTGATCTTTTAATATAATTTTTTTTGTCGGTGCGTAAATATCAAACAAAGTAATAATATAAGTGTTTAGAATGAACATCATTTCGTCTACATTGTTTAAATAACTAATATTATTCCAGGGAATTTTATTGAGATCCTCATCGAAATTTTTGATGTCAATATCTTTTAAAGGTCTTGTAATAATCCAACGAGGACCCATCTTTTCTTTTTTAAAGTTTAGTGTGACAGAAATTAAAGCATGACTTCCTAACTCGGGAATATATTTTACTTGAACTTCTCGCACATCGGTGTCCGTACATACTACATCTATCAATGTTTCACTAGATTCAGTAAAGTGTGTTGGTTCTGTAACTACTTGATTTAAGTTAAAATAATAAAGAAAATCGTTTAACTGTTTTGTTTTATTATCGTGCTGGTTAAATTGGTTTATGTTGAAGTCGCCTAGCAGCACTATGTTATCGTAGTCGGGAAATGTAGTGAGAGATTGTATTAAAGAGTCCATAAATATATGTGTATCTAGCCATGGGGGCCTGTAAGCTGTTCCTATGATTGTTTTCTTACTAGCAACTTTAAACTTAAGCCACATTTGCTCCACCTTGTCCGGATTGGGAAAGTCACAAATTGTAAAATTCATACCTTTTCTGAAAAGCCTACTCCTCCCCCACGCCCTCCTTTTATCTCTAAAGATCGGGGATTGTGACGAAACTGGTGTCCGGGTATTGCAGGGGCATGTTCTTCTTCGCCTTCTCGTATCCAAGTTTCATTAATAGCTATTAAGTCCACATTTACATCAATCATTGCCGCTAGTAATTCTTTATGTCGCGTTCCCAGGGAGCCAGCGTTAAAGAGTCCAACCATAAGGTATTTAGTATTAGTCATTGAAGATAAATAATTCTATTAAAGTATAAATAGAGGCAGATATTAGTATGCCAGAGAAGTTAAGCTGCCTATTTACTCTCTTAATGCGTATTTTTGGCCAAACGCTGACTGCGGTTATAAACACTACAATTATGTCTCCATATTTACATAATTCTCTTCTACTCTTAGTATAACACAATCGTCCTAGGTACTTATTGATATGGTTTAAAAGTATTTCTATATTAAAAATTATACAATATATGTAACAAAAATTCTTATAACTTATTTTACTACGAGCTAACTTTATCATTTCCAAAAACACGTGTAATATCCTCTTCTGATTTGATCCAGTGCGCCGGTTGGCCTTCACATCGCCGCCACAATATACTGTCGCGGACTGTTTTTTAGATCATGAAAAGAGCTATTATTCTTTAATACATATTTTTTGTGTATCTTGAACCGTTTTCACGGCGCACGCAACGGAAGGCTTCAAAGATGAAATAATTTCTCCCTTTTTTACACATTTATCACTATATCTTTGCTCCTATTGGTCGAAGCGTGATGTTTTAAAGCCCACAGCCTTCCTCGATAACTGGACTATCCAACACAAAAAGAATTATTCAATTCGAACCAGTAGTTTTGGAGATTAGCGCTTTCCAACAAACAAACAAACAAACTCTTCAGCTTTATAATATTAGTATAGATTATAATTATTACATACACCGACTGAACGCTTCCGACGCGTTGCTTAGTACTGAATAACTAAATGAAGGATAGTAAATCATTTTTTAAACATTTATTTATATAAAATATATTGATGGAGACGTAGTATGTAACATAATTTAAAATCCCTACTAGTATTATAAATGCGAAAGTAACTCCGTCTGTCTGTCTGTTACGCTTTCACACCTGAACCACTGAACTGATTTTAATGAAATTTGGTACAGAGATGGAGTTGACCTTGACAAAGAACATGGGATAGTTTTTATCCCAGACTTTTGAAAAGTTCTCTTGGGCGAAGCTGCGGTCGGAAAGCTAGTTATAAAAGTACCACATATCTTTTTAATATAACGGTACCCTTACAGATATCTAATCATAATATGAGGCGACTGTAGTGTACACAATGGGAAAAGAGTACGTCCATGTGTTTTAGCCTAAAGTGAATGGAATTGCTCACATGTACCCAAAGTGCACACTCGCCTTGTATGACATAATCAATGGAATAGAAATATCTAGCACTGCACGAACTTAAACACTGAACGAATCTCTTTTTTTTCATTCTAGTTTTATTTTGAATAATTAAAAATATGCTACTTTTAGTCTGTCATTTTATAAGCGAGTGTTTTTGTAATTCTTTTAAACATTTAATAATTTATTTTAAACCGACAATAATTGAAGTAAGTGTCTTTGTATGTCTCTATATAAGAACAATATTGTATTATGTTTTACAGATGGTGTTATTGGACTGTACTTGAGATTCATCCATCAGGAGATGACGGCTGATCATCAAGTGTTAGATGAAAACTAACAATGAACCAGGTATTGATGAAACATAGAATTATATGAAGAGGAGAATGACTCGGTTAGTGTAACATATTAGAATAGAGAAGACTTGAAGTATCAACTGTAACAGTCTCCAGACAATATAAGGAGTGTGTTCACTATAAACATGTACAGTACGAGTTTGATGTGTCTATTGATATCAAAGAACCTCCTGGAATGTACGTATACATAGAAAGATAATTTATTTTTAATTTATTTAAAACAATTTAGAGCTCTCCTACAGAAACATCTTCCTCAATCAAAGTACTCATAGTTTCACTACCGTCGTATGTTTTCACTACATGGTCTGTCCATCGATCATGAAATATATGTTTGTTTCAAAATATAAAGATAAGTCAAGTTAATGATATCCAAACAAATCTTTGTAGAGGACCGCAGTCTTAAGAAAATTATTATTTTCTGAACGCTATATTTGGCGAGGGCTTATTAATTTGATAGTTTGGTTTAATTAATTCATTACTATTTTTATTTTAACTTTTTTGTTGTTAATCTTTGACCACATCCTAAAATATGTGCTATCTTAAATAGTATTATTTGTAACGTTCCAGGACTCGTGAGAATATATAATTCAAGATGAGGGTCGAAGCTGTTGGTGGAGCGTCTGTTAGGACGTGGTCTGCGGACGAGAGGAAACCTTCTATGAAGAGAAGTGTATGTAGCTGATGTACGATAGTAGTGTGACGGTATGTACTGTTGAATATTTAATATTATTCTGTTATTGTTTAAAGTACCTAAGGGTGAATATTTTTTGAGTTCATTTATTCAATACTTTTATTAATGACTAGTTTTTGCCCGCGACTTCGTCCGCGTTAGTTTGGTCAAGAGTAATATATGTAGGTATAGCTGACCAGGCGAACTCTATTCCGTCTTAGAGGCCATAAATAATCAGGTTTTTCCTGTTTCAATCAAACAGAATGATTGACATATTAGTTAGTTGTCAAATCTAATGTCAAAAAAACGTTTGTATGGGAAATAGAAAAAGGGCTGTTTTTAGGGTTTTCCCGGCAATCATTCCAACTTTTCTCACCTTTTAAACCTTCCCTGGACTTCCAGGAGTATTTCAAGACTAAAATTTGCCAAATCGGTTCAGCCGTTCTCGAGTTTTAGCGAGACTAAGGAACAGCAATCCATTTTTATATATATAGAAGATTATAATTATTACATACATCGACTGAACGCTTCCGACGCGTTGTTTCGTAATGAATAACTAAATGAAGGATAGTAAATCATTTTTTTAAACATTTATCTATATAAAATATATTAATGGAGACGTAGTATGTAACATGATTTAAAATCCCTACTAATATTATAAATGCGAAAGTAACTCCGTCTGTCTGTCTATTACGCTTTCACGCCTAAACCACTGAACCGATTTTAATGAAATTTGGTACAGAGATGGAGTTGACCTTGAGAAAGAACATAGGATAGTTTTATCCCAGACTTTTGAAAGGTTCTCTTGGAAACGCGATATAACCGAACTCCACGCGGGCGAAGCTGCGGACGAAAAGCTAGTATTAAATATTTTAAGTATCTTCATATTGCTACTTGACTATTTGAAACACGTGATATGTATATACGTTACGGCTTTCCGGTTTGCTAAAAATATTTCTAACTCTTTTTTCTTAGCATCACTTGTATGTTATTTTGTATGTTTGTTACTTACTGTCAGAAATAAATAATAATAATTATAATAATAACTAGCTGCTGCCGGCGGCTCCGTCCGCGTGAACATCACAGTTGTTCTCTGTCACTAAGGCCACTGGCTTCTTGGCTTCTTTTTCTTATTTTTTTATTCACAATGAAGTACTCTTAACCAACAACATATTTATTTGTTTATTTGAATAAATATTAATATTATTATGTTGATACAACTTAAACAAATAATTTCGACAAAATTAGGTACCATACAAAAGAAAAAGAAGCCAAGAAAAGAAAGAAGCCAAGCACCTCGTGGCCGTCGTTTCACCCAGCAGCCTTCCCACACCTGACCCTGTGAGATTCTCCAGGTGGGTAAGGCTCCTGCGGGCGACCGCGAGGGTGCTGCAATTCGTGCAACTGTGCCGCAGGGAAAGAACTCTAAGCGCACGATCCAGCGACCCGGTGTGGACAAAGAAACACATTAAAACGAAAACAAAGGCACAGCACTCAGCTCCACTCGCAATAAAGGAGCGGTACCGTCCCCTGGAGCCCGAATGGCTAAAAAAGGCGTAAGAATTGCTACTACGAAGAAGCCAAGAATGTTTCAAAGAGGAAAGAAAGGCTGTGGAGAGCCAGCAACCCCTAGACCGGAAGAGCAAACTTAAACGGCTGGATATCGCCGTGAACGGTGGGCTTATAAGGATCCGCGGCAGGATCGACGTCGCCGAAGAACTCGACCGCGATCTCAATCAGCCAGTAGTATTAGACGCGAAAGATGACATTACGAAGTTGATCCTGACCCATTACCACGATAAGTTCAATCCCGGTAACCACGCTACCGTGATGAACGAAGTAAGGAGAAGGTTTTGGGTCCTGGGCCTGAGATCAGCGGTGCGAGAGATAGCCCATCGATGCCAGTGGTGTCTAGTACCTAAGGGCACTCCGAAGACCCCACCCACAGGAGATCTACCGCGGGAACAGCTCCGATACGGCGAGCCACCTTTCACTTGTACCGCGGTGGATTATTTCGGCCCAATGACGGTCACCGTGGGGAGGAGAAACGAGAAGCGGTGGGGGGCGTTGTTCACTTGCCTCACCACCAGAGCGATTCATTTAGAGTTGGTCGCCTCATTATCGGCCGACTCGATGACACTGGCGCTCAGAAGGATGACGGCCCGCCGGGGTTGGCCCAAGGTTATGTTTAGTGACAACGGGACCAATTTCGTGCGGGCTAACAAAGAAGTTATCGAGGCGCTCGGAGCGGAAGCACAATTGAAAGGCATCAGGTGGAAGTTCATACCACCTGGTGCCCCGAACATGGGAGGCGCGTGGGAGCGTCTGGTGGCCTCCGTGAAGACGGCCCTCTCCGCGACGTTGAAAGAAAGGAAACCAAGGGAAGAAGTTTTGCATACCTTGCTTTTGGAGGCCGAGCATATAATAAACTCGCGGCCACTAATAGAAGTAGATGACCACAAGGAAGAATATCTGACCCCGAACCATTTCCTGATTAGGAAGTCTTGCGGGGCGCCGACGATGGGAACATTCACTGAAGACGAGGTCAAGGGTAGGACCTGGAAAGCAGCGCAACATCTAGCGGACCACTTCTGGGCGAGGTGGATGAAAGAATACCTCCCTACTCTTGTTCCTCGTCGAATTGGAGGCGGCACCGACACCGCAGATCTTCAGCAGGGGGACGTGGTCATCGTTGTGGACTCGACGATACCAAGAAACTCGTGGCTGCGAGGAGAAGTGATAAGGGTCTACCCAGGCCCCGACGGGCGAACGCGCGTAGTAGACGTGCGCACCTCCACTGGCCTTCTAAAAAGGCCGAGCTCGAAGATTGTGAGGCTGGTGAGCAGCTTCGCGTCGCCGGACAAGAGGATGGTGCGAAGCACAAGGGGGAGGATGTCGGTGACGCAGCTAATATTTAGTAATTGATAATAGATTAAAACATAAGAGATGTAAATATTAAGGAAATTAAGTTAATATTTATATAGAAATTGTATGCTTGATAAATAAAAGACTCTACGGAAAGCGACTCTTGTAAGAGCGCAGTCTACTGTTGTAAACTTGATGCGAACCTATTGGACACTAACGTACGGCGGTAGAGTCACTTGGAAGGGGCGGGGCATTCGCGCTGACTCACAGCGGTGCTAGGTGCGCGCGCGCAGCGCGTATAAAACACGGCCGCTGTGAGTCGAAAAGTCAGACAGCCATCGACCTTCGACTGGAGCAGTCACCTTTATTAAAGCGACTCACTGTCTCGGACCACCTCGGTCCATCTCGCCGCATCACGCTGTACAGCGACGCGGCGACCCCCTCGTCTCAGTACCGTCCGAGCACTCTCAGCGTTCGGACGTGTGTTCCTGCAGCGGACCGCGCTCCCTGAGCTGCGTCCGCTCCCCGTGTCAGTGGACTGTTGCCTAGCACGTCCACTCTCCGAGTCAGTGGATTGTGCCCAGCACGTCCACTCTCCGAGTTCAGCGGATTGTGTACGCACGTCCGCTCCCCGGGCCACGTCGCCTGCACTTGTTCCACGTGCCGTGTGGTTCGAGTGCAAAGACTACAGTGCAGTGTTAGTGTAGTGTAGTGCCGTTCCAGTGCGCGCCGCGTATTGCCAGACGCTTTAGGGCCGCGTACCCACACCCGAGGTAAGGCTGTAAGCACACACCTTGCCCTCACCAGGCGAGTCCGTAGGACACAACTAGGTACTCATCTCCCTGCCGCCTGGCAGGGAGGATTGGTAGTATTCCACTTTAAAAAACTCACCATGCCCACCTTAGACCCGATGATCTTCACTGCCTACGTGCAGAAGAATAACCCCGAATTGGTACTTAGATTCATATCTGAGTCCCTGCTCCCCACCCCCAACTCCCGCATGGAGTGTTCTTCGGCCTCGGCCTCGGAGTCCGGTTCCCGGACTAGATCCGAGAGCGAAGCCGACGACGGATTTACAACCGTCGTCTCAAAGAAAAAGAGGAAGCGTTCCTCTAAAACGCCGTCTACCTCCGCCCCCCAATCCCCCTCAAACGCCGCGAACGCCCCCGCCGCCGCCGCTAACTCTCGCCCCTCGTCCCCCTCAGGGACACCAAACCCACCCTCTCCCGCCCGCGCCCGTCGCGAAGCGGCCCAAACCCGCGGCAAATTCACCGTCCGCGTCTCCCGACGCACCACCGCGGGATAAGGCGCCTCCGCCACTAAACCTTAAAGACAAGGATAAGTGGGACCATATGTCCCAGTTATTCATAGACCTCAAAATACATTTTACGTCAGCCCGGCCGACTAAAGACGGGATTAAAATCCAGTCGTCCTCAGCGGATAACCACCGTAGGATGACTGCCCTCCTGCGGGAGCGTGGTATTGGATACCACACTTACGCACTAGAGGAGGAGCGTCGCCTTACGGTGGTGATCCGCGGGATGCCGTGTGAGATCCCAACCAAATCCGTATTAAGTGACCTCAAGTCACAAGGTTTCCCGGTCCAGGCAGTACACCGGATGTACCGCCCGACCAATAAGAAACCCTTTAATATGGTGCTTGTCCACTTGGACAACACCAAAGAGGCAAAAGCCATTTTTAACGTAAACACGGTCTGCTACCTGTCCGGACTACAGGTAGAGCTCCCCCGCGGCCGCGGCATCCCTGGGCAGTGTCATCGCTGCCAATGCTACGGCCACTCCGCTAGGTTCTGTTACGCACGCCCGAGATGCGTAAAATGCTTAGGCGACCACGCGACGGTCGATTGTGAGAGGAAAACTCCCTCCGAGGACATCCCTCCGAGCTGTGTCCTGTGCCAGCAATCGGGCCACCCAGCGAACTACCGCGGGTGTCCGAAAGCCCCGCGCAGGGCAAAGCGAGGAGGGAATAAATCCGCTCCCCACCGAAGAGCTCCTCAAGCTCCTGCCACTCAGGCTCTCTCCAAGGCCCCTCAGGCCCCTAAAACGCCTAAGGCCCCTCGGGCCCCTCAGGCCCCTAAAACGCCTAAGGCCCCTCAGGCCCCCCAGGCACCGACGGTCAATGCCTGGTTTAGGAATAAACCCGCCGAAATAACCGTCACCACGTCACCGGCCGCGCCCGTGCCTCCAACCGCGCAAGACAGCGGGGTCTCCAACCCCCTGTCTTCAATCTCCAAATACTTCGAGGCGTTCGATCCGCCCGAATTACTCATATTTGCGAACAAGCTCAAGGCAACCGACAAATCCTGCCCACATCCAACATGTGGAGCAGGTCGTACGAGATAGGTTACTTCTGCCACCAGAGGACCCCCCACTTAAACCAACCGACACTGAAGAAGTGTCATCTATAATTAAGGGACTAAACGTTAAGAAGTCCCCTGGCCCCGATAAAATTTCCAACAAAGTCATAAAGCTCCTCCCTCCCCGCCTCATTTACCTACTGGTATGCATGTTCAACGCTCTATTGACCGGATGCTCATTTCCGGACCAATGGAAAGAGGCCATTGTCATAGGTATACCTAAATTGCGTAAACCCAGCAACCTCCCAAGTAGTTACCGCCCCATCAGTCTCCTAAGCAACTTAGGAAAAATCTACGAAAGGATCGTTCTGTCCCGCCTCAAAGCGGAGATAGAACGACTTAAAATAATCCCCAATGAGCAGTTCGGGTTCAGAGCCGTCACTCCTGTCCCCAATTGGTGCAACGATTAACAGAGCACATTTCTCTCAGTTTGAACTCTCGTAAAAGTAACAGGAGCGGAGCCCTCTTCTTCTACGTGGCGAAAGCATTCGACAGAGTCTGGCACGATGGCTTGGTATACAAGTTGTACCAATACAAAGTGTCAGATAGGCTCGTACTCATCATACGAGACTACCTGTCGAATCGTTCCTTCCGCTACCGAGTGGATGGGGAGCTCTCGTCTCTACGACCTATCAGAGCCGGTGTCCCTCAAGGATCAGTGCTATCCCCTACGCTTTACTCTATTTACACCAGCGACATACCCAGGCCTCCAAAGGGCACTTACCTAGCCCTTTTCGCGGACGACACCGCAATTTATACTTCTGGAACCCGGGATACCGATGTAATCAGCAGGCGCCTCCAGACCGCTGCCACCGCCCTAGGCGTCTGGTTTCGGAAATGGAGGATAGACCTTAACCCCGAGAAGAGCACAGCAGTGTACTTCAAACGGGGTCGTTATATCGATATCCCGTCTCCAATATCTATCTTCGGTACACCTATCCCCTGGCGGAAGGTAACCAAATATTTGGGTGTAACGCTAGACAATTCAATGTCCTTCGGCCCCCACATCAGAAAAGCTAGGAATCGAGCCGCCTACGTTTTCGGCCGTCTCTACCCCCCTTCTATGCGTGAGGAGTAAAATGTCACTTAGAAATAAGATGACGTTATACAAATCATGCATAAGAACAATTATGGCTTACGGTAGCGTAGCATTCGCCCACCGTAATCTCAAACCATTTCAGACCCTATAGAACCGCTTCTTGCGCACGATCACGGGTGCCCCGTGGTACATGCGTAACGTCGACCTTCATAGAGACCTCGATCTCCCCACTATTCGGCAACACTTCAAAGTACTCTCCGAGAGGTACTTCGAAAGAGCCAAAACTCATCCCAACCCTCTGGTGAAAGAAGTCGTCAGATACACTCCAAACCAATTTCATAAGGGCCTTCGGAGGCGCCCAAAACATATTCTCATCGATCCGGACGATGAAATCACTATAAGTAATAGGACCACCGCGTCGTCCGATAGTAGTAGGGAAACTACACAAACAATCATCACACACACCCACCGCTCTCGCCGGCGAGAGCGAGGTCCCCGCTTCCGCACGTCTCTCGCAAAGGGGTGTCGGAGGCCGTCGCTGGCAAACCCCCCCTGAATCCACGACGTCCTAAGTTCGTGGTCCGAGCCTCACACTAGCAGGCGCCCTTAGAACGTACGTTCCCTGGGGCCCTTCAGACCCCTTTTTAACGGGCCGGTCCCAGTACCGGCCCACTCTTCCGGTGACGCTGTCAAAGCCGCAGGGCTAACAGCAATACACATTACAAAAAAAGAACACATAACAAAAAAAAAGTCGAAAAGTCAGTCATCAGCCAGCTCTCGTGATTACAACAACTCCTACGCTTTGAAGAACCCGAACATTGAAGAACCGAACTTGAAGATAGTGGCTAGGGACCACGTGGTCATTTAAACCAAGTGATTCTGCCGCCATTACCAATAAGTTGTGGTTTTATTGTGAACGATGATACGATCCCGCTACGAACACTGATCTCGAGAATCGGATCACCGGCCGCCTACTATCGGAGGAATTATTATCAGATCGTACCAATCGGACATCCCAACCGCAACAATAGTAGTGTGACGGTATGTACTGTTGAATATTTAGGTAATATTATTCTGTTATTGTTTATAGTACCTAAGGGTGAATATTTTTTGAGTTCATTTATTCAATACTTTTATTAATGGTTACAATTATTACATACATCGACTGAACGCTTCCGACGCGTTGCTTCGTACTGAATAAGTAAATGAAGGATAGTAAATCATTTTTTTAAACATTTATTTATATAAAATATATTAATGGAGACGTAGTATGTAACATAATTTAAAATCCCTACTAATATTATAAATGCGAAAGTAACTCTGTCTGTTTATCTGTTACGCTTTCACACCTGAACCACTGAACTGATTTTAATGAAATTTGGTACAGAGATGGAGTTGACCTTGAGAAAGAACATGGGATAGTTTTTATCCCAGACTTTTGAAAAGTTCTCTTGGGCGAAGCTGCGGTCGGAAAGCTAGTTATAAAAGTACCACATATCTTTTTAATATAACGGTACCCTTACAGATATCTAATCATAATATGAGGCGACTGTAGTGTACACAATGGGAAAAGAGTACGTCCATGTGTTTTAGCCTAAAGTGAATGGAATTGCTCACATGTACCCAAAGTGCACACTCAACGAATCTCTTTTGTATCATTCTAGTTTTATTTTGAATAATTAAAAATATGCTACTTTTAGTCTGTCATTTTATAAGCGAATGTTTTTGTAATTTTTTTAAACATTTAATAATTTATTTTAAACCGACAATAATTGAAGTAAGTGTCTTTGTATGTCTCTATATAAGAACAATATTGTATTATGTTTTACAGATGGTGTTATTGGACTGTGCTTGAGATTCATCCATCAGGAGATGACGGCTTATCATCAAGTGTTGGATGAAAACTAACAATGAACCAAGTATTGATGAAACATAGAATTATATGAAGAGGAGAATGACTCGGTTAGTATAACATATTAGAATAGAGAAGACTTGAAGTATCAACTGTAACAGTCTCCAGACAATATAAGGAGTGTGTTCACTATAAACATGTACAGTACGAGTTTGATGTGTCTATTGATATCAAAGAACCTCCTGGAATGTACGTATACATAGAAAGATAATTTATTTTTAATTTATTTAAAACAATTTAGAGCTCTCCTACAGAAACATCTTCCTCAATCAAAGTACTCATAGTTTCACTGCCGTCGTATGTTTTCACTACATGGTCTGTCCATCGATCATGAAATATATGTTTGTTTCAAAATATAAAGATAAGTAAAGTTAATGATATCCAAACAAATCTTTGTAGAGGACCGCAGTCTTAAGAAAATTATTATTTTCTAAACGCTATATTTGGCGAAGGCTTATTAATTTGATAGCTTGGTTTAATTAATTCATTACTTTTTTTATTTTAACTTTTTTGTTGTTAATCTTTGATCACATCCTAAAATATGTGCTATCTTAAATAGTATTATTTGTAACGTTCCAGGACTCGTGAGAATATATAATTCAAGATGAGGGTCGAAGCTGTTGGTGGAGCGTCTGTTAGGACGTGGTCTGCGGACGAGAGGAAACCTTCTATGAAGAGAAGTGTATGTAGCTGATGTACGATAGTAGTGTGACGGTATGTACTTTTGAATATTTAATATTATTCTGTTATTGTTTATAGTACCTAAGGGTGAATATTTTTTGAGTTCAGTTATTCAATACTTTTATTAATGGTTACAATTATTACATACATCGACTGAAAGCTTCCGACGCGTTGCTTCGTAATGAATAAGTAAATGAAGGATAGTAAATCATTTTTTGAACATTTATTTATAGAAAATATATAAATGGAGACGTAGTATGTAGCATAATTTAAAATCCCTACTAATATTATAAATGCGAAAGTAACTCTGCTGTCTGTCTATTATGCTTTCACGCCTAAACCACTGAACTGATTTTAATGAAATTTGGTACAGAGATGGAGTTGACCTTGAGAAAGAACATAGGATAGTTTTTATCCCAGACTTTTGAAAGGTTCTCTTGGAAACGCGATATAACCGAACTCCACGCGGGCGAAGCTGCGGACGAAAAGCTAGTATTAAATATTTTAAGTATCTTCATATTGCTACTTGACTATTTGAAACACATATGTATACACGTTACAGCTTTCCGGTTTGCTAAAAATATTTCTAACTCTTTTTTTCTTAGCATCACTTGTATGTTATTTTGTATGTTTGTTACTTACTGACAGAAATAAATAATAATAATTATAATAATAACTAGCTGCTGCCGGCGGCTCCGTCCGCGTGAGTATCACAGTTGTTCTCTGTCACTAAGGCCACTGAACCTGAACTGCTTCCACTTCATGGTTCAACCCGTGAATTTTCGGGATCGGTTAATCAGGATGATCTATTTCCATACAAATTTCACCTCAATCGGTTTAGCGTTTAAGTTATATATGTTGACCGATTTATATAATATTTTACACAAAACATAGGAATAGATACGTAAAAGATAAAACAATTCAAAATATTAAATCCTTTTTATAACTTCATATTTCTATTTGCATCTTTGAAACACACATATGTATTATACGTTACAGCTTTCTGATTTACTTACGAATACTTTTATCGTTAAACAATCCTTGAAGTACTTAAGTGTCTTTGTATGTCTCTATATAAGAACAATATTGTATTGTTTTACAGATGGTGTTATTGGACTGTACTTGAGATTCATCCATCAGGAGATGACGGCTGATCATCAAGTGTTAGATGAAAACTAACAATGAACACAGCCAGCCTAGCAGCACATCTCCAACTTGTCTGCTACTTAGTTATTTTATATTGAATTTAGACTTGTCAAACAATATCTTTAACAGTTACTGTACAAGTTTTATATAATGTTATAAATTAATACTTCCGACGCAAATAATAAATAGTGTTTATTGTTATTTATAC